AATCTAAGCTGGATCATTGTGACGGACATTGATGGGTCACAGGTTGGGTTGTTGCAATGTGGGCAGACTCCGGGGCCACCAGGTGTGGGGTCACCCTCCGTTGCTGTCTCCCCCGCGTAGGTGGTCTGGGCGGTGAGGATCGTCCTGGAGCTTGTACCATACCTTTTTCCCTATGCGATGGAACCTGACGTTGAGGGGCCTCTGTTTTATTTCTCAGGTGGATGGTTTCCACTGTCTCCTGGTAGGGTGGCACTTGGCCACTGGCTGACCTCAAACACTTGTTTTAGAAGCTCTGTAGTTGTTGTAGTCCGGTCTTCCCGAATGTGACGAGTAGTATGTGTGGGTACTCCAACACAGGCCTCACCAGTGCCTTGTACAGGTGGACTTGTATCTTCTCAGGCATCAGTTTAAAATGTTTTAATTTGGCTGCAGCGACTTTGGCTTTCTTTCGTCTGTCCTTCACGTGGGAAATGATGACCGTCCGAGAGATGATGAGGCCGAGCAACCTGCCTCTTTTAGAGTACTCAATCTCTTCGCCGTCGACCTTCAATGGTGCCGTCTTGAATTTGGCTATGGGTATGACCTCGAATTTCATTTTGTTTGTTTTATATAATTTTTTTTTCATACTCCAAGATATCTAAGAAGCATTTCCAAAACAGAGCAAGGAACATTTTAGGCTCGTGGACACTGGTTGCCGGTTGGTCGCGCTGGACACAGGTGCCCGAGGAGGTGGGAAACATAAACAGTTGTCAATTGTTGTTTGTGGGAATATTTTATACACTCTAGATTATAAGATATGTATTTCTCCCATACGCATTTCGATCGTACGCCTGGTAACAGGTGTGAGTAAGGGGAGTGAGTCGAGTGACCGCTAATTGAGCATCGTCTACTCTTGTAACTCTCCTCAACCCTGCCATATTTCACTTGATTTACTGTTATTATTAGTGTTTACTGATATATTAGTACTTAATAGTGATTAATCATGACTTTGTAGCCGGGTTAGACTCATCACTGTAACCACCAGGCTACTGGGCCAATCTGTGAGGTGTTATGGTTGTTTTTCATCTTGTATTTTCGGGTAGATATATGTAACTTTCTTCATTTATTTTTACTCATTTACATGCACACACCATCCTAAATACATATTGTGAAAAATAGTAAAAGATACAATTGTCCTAAGGGCCAACCTTTACTCAAATGGACTAAGTTAATTCCTAAAAATTGTACGTCTAGAGCAAATTTTTTTTTTTTTTTTTTTTTTTTTACGGGGATTAGCCCTCCCGGGCACAGGTCACTGACCCACATCGGGGCCTGGGGGGCAAAAATATAATTATAATAATACAGGTTGTACCTCTCTAGTCCGGCAACCTCAGGACCTGACCGGTGCCGGACCATGGAAATTCACCCTTTTCCTGGATAGATAGTGACTTGTGCTTATGGTTGGAAGCACTAGCACCACTTTCTCTGCATCACGGTCTCTTTGAAGACATATTGAAGGGTTAAATGTCGTATAGTAGCTTCCCAAATTTCGCGAGTTTTTAATTCTTAACGTATTTTATTGGAACACAAAAAAAATAAATAAATAAAAATTTTGAAGGCGGAAACTTGAATTTCGACGGGTTTGAACGGCCCGCCAACGTGGGAAACAAATGCCAGTGAGAACATACAGTTCAAAGGAAGAGAAATGTGCACCTAGGTTCGAGGCGGCCAATGATTGCCTGACTCTTCTGCTTGGGGGTAATGCTGAAGGAGATCTGAAACTGAAGCCATTGCTTGTTTATCATGCTGAGACACTCATCTTCCTGTTGTTTGGGGCTCAAACAAAAAGGGCTGGGTCACTAGAGCAGTGTTTGAAGAGTGATTTACTGGATATTTCTGCCCAGCTGTCAAGGAATATTGTACAAAAAATAACCTTGAACACAATGCATTGCTGATTTTAGATAATGCTCCAAGCCAACCACCACACCTGGATGACTTGTCATTTTTCTGCCTCCAAACATAACTTTCATGATTCAACCAATGGATTAGGGGGTTATATCGATCTTCAAGGCCTATTAAATGAGTTCACAAAAGGTGAAAACAGGCCCAGTGTAAGGGAATTTTGGTGTGACTATTACACCATAAAAGCTATCAACAATCTGTCTGAAGCATGGCAGGAAGTGGAAACAACAATGAATTGTGTTTGGAGTAAAATCTGGCAAGAATGTTTTGGTGACTTCAATGGATTTGACCAGCCAGTAAACAAAGTTCATGAAAAGATTGCTGGATTGGTACAGCAAGCTGGATTAAATGAGGTAGAAGTAGAAGATGTAGTGGAGTTACTTGAATCATATGGTGAAGAATTATCAAATAATGATCTTGTGCAAATGGAACAACAACGAGCAGCTGAGCAAGAGAATGATGAAAGTGATGAGGCATTATCAGCATGATCCTTATCAACAAATAATTTGTCTGAAGCTTTTAAGTAAGTATTTGGAAAAAGCTATGACAATTCTCACTGAAAAGGACACTCAAAGAGAAAGAAGTTCACAAGCCAATAGAATAATAACACGTGGATACAACTGTTACAGGGAATTGTACAAACAGAAAAAAAGAATGTACGTCAGCTAACATTGGACATGTTTTTAAATGCCCATCTGAACAAAAGAAAAACAACAAGATCCAGTACCAGCAACACCACCCCATCCTGAGGCAATACCGAGCACCTCGGCCATTTCTCACGACACATTTGAGGGATTTGAAATGGACATTGATTTACTCAAGCACACCTCCAGGGATGATGATGATCACCCAGATTATCTTCTGATGATGAGGTGGAAGTGGGGCCCCAGTAGCCTTCCCGTCCACTACTGCATCAAGTAAATATTATCTTATTTGTGTTTATTAATCTTATTTGTATGCATAGTACACATTTATTTACATTAAGAATACCCCGTATAGTACAGTTATCCCTTGGTTATCACGCCTAATTGGGACCGCGTTTAGTGCATGATAACGAAAGTACAGAACCCATGGGATTTATTCTAATTGGTTCCAGGCACCCAAGACCCAACCCCAATTTTCCCATTTTACGACTATTGAGACCCACTAAATATACAGGTATATACAGTATAGTGTTATGGTAAGTATCAGAAACACACATAGGAATGGCTAGGTTTATTACAAAGTGATGAAAAGGGTACGCTTAATACTGTAGTCCACAAAACATGTAGCTATGCTTTCTTTATTTGAGTCCACCGTCTGAGGAGTCCATTTTCTCAACGCTTCAGGACACCTGAGTCATACGTTTTCTCTCAATCTTAGAGTGCACCCGAGACTTCGTTATTCCTTAGTAATGACCCAAAATTTGAAATTGAAAATGGGGTTGCAATTGTTGAGGCAACTTAGATATATCTGATTACAGCAAATGTTTTATTGTCAATTTGTAGGTGAAAAATTTTATCCTCAATAGATGTAGGTGAAGCAAATGGGTAAAAACACCTGGAGGCAACTGCATGAAAAAGAAATTTTGGCTTGAAAAATGCGCTATAACAGCAGGTGTGCAGATTTTGATGGAGACGTGATAACAAAAAATGCAATAACCAAGTGCACTATAACCAAGGAATGACTGTAGTGTTGTTTTTGGTCTTTATTCAGTGACTGAATTTGAAATTTTTTACCATAAACGTACCTGAAGCACATAACCCCTATTTATAGCGTTGTGTCTATGGTAAAATTGGTTTCACTTAAAGTCGTGGTTTTCGGGAACCTAACAAAGACGTTAATTAGGAATTGGTGTATAGTACCTGTATTTTGTTTCTCTTTTCCATTAATTTCACTGTTTAGGGGGAAAGGGGGCAAAAAGCCACACAAAAGAGGTGCATCTCATTTTAGCCGCTTTATTTTAATGGTAATTAATGATTCACAATACGACGATTCACCTTACACGACAATATTGGGGGACACGTTACCACCATAACTCGAGGCTTTACCGTACCTGGAAAAATTCAGGGATGCGAGACTTTTCTGGGTTGAGAAAGTCGTCTCTTTACCTAGAAATCGCTCATTCCCAGAAGAGCTCTGCACCAATTATTTCAGCTAACAGGGATATCACTTTATTAACTTCTTACTATAAACATGTGATTACAGCTTCATTTATCATATCAAATCATTATGCAAAATTTTTCTACCGCGTTATAACACACTCGCAATTTTATGAGACGGTCAATCGTCACAAAGACTATGGACCATCCTACAAGAACTTAAGTTTTTTTTTAAATATAGCGAAGATGATGATGACAATGACCAAGATAAAGTGATTTTAAGGTTACACCCAGGATGTGCAGATTAGCAGTGCCTGGCAACCCAGACATGCTCAGATTTGGGGGCTAAACAGGTGATTTTTCATGTCAACTCACACAACACTTGCCTGGTGGACAGGATAATATTTTGAGAGGAAAATACCTAGACAGGAATTTGTCAGCTGTTGTGTGACCCCACATATTTAAACTGAGGTCTGTCAACCAGTACGGTGATAAGAGGGGGGAGAGCTGTGTGTGTACTTGACCTGACACCGCAATGTGACATCACAATTTAGCTGACCCTCGACTTTCTTTTCCCAAAATGACCTGACATGATAGGTGTGTGCTACAGCCTCAGTGACGTGATACCTCCTATTTCTATTGGTCTATTCTCACAATGACTTCAACCTGAAAATCTATATAAAAGCTCCCACTGATTGGTGTGTAAGGCTCCAAGCAGAGTTGTGATACAAATTTAAGTGAAAACCTTGACATGAATAAAAAGTAAGGAAAATTGACCGGGTTCTTCAACTGCCACTGGATGGAGAAGGGTGAGGGTAAAAGACATTTAGATGGACACAGTGATGTATGAGTTGATACACAGTATATTTGACATTTTAAAATGTTTATTAAAAAAAAAATGGGCAAGCAAATTTCTTCCAAAATTTGTCAGGGCAAGTAAATTTCAAGTCACTTGTCTGGGACAAATATACAGTGCATACAGGGTGTTTCAGAAATATGTTTCATAATAATGGGGGTGCATCCCTTTGACATACATAAGGATAAATGATTTCCTGACCATTGTGTTAAAAGCTCCACAGTTTTGGAGTTATAACATGACAGTTGGGGTTACAATGTGATAAAATCTACAGAGTATAAATGAAATATTCAGTGTTGCAAGTACAATTTATTTACAAGCATATGCAATCTGATAAGGATATTACAGTAAATGTTCAAAGTTCCAGCCCTCTTCCTGAATGCAGGCTTCAGCCTGTCACAAAATGACTGTTGTAAATGTTGGAAGACTCCAGGGGTGTTGTGAATGATTGTGGCACTGTCTTGCACTCGGCGCCACAATTCCTCACGAGTCGGGGCCTCTGTAGCATACACTTTGCCTTTTACGTGACCCCACAAGTACAAGTCAAGGGCATTTAAGTCAGGTGATCGAGGTGGCCATGAAACAGGGCTGCCACGCCCTATCTACCTGCCGGGATACCCAACATTTAGGAATTCGTTGTTACTTGAGCAAAATGAGCTGGGGCACCATCATGCCTGTACCACAGTTGTTTTGTTGATGTATCCTGTTGGGCTCATCCTCAATCATCACTGACAAAGTGTCCTCAAGAAAACGTGTGTATGTTTCACCTGTCAGTTACTGGGGTAGCAGATACAGGCCAATAAGGCGATCACCAATAATTACAGCCCAAACATTGATTGCAAATCGTACCTGATGAGATGTACGTGTTACTGTGGATTGTCAACAGACCCACTCAGCTGTCACTACTTACTTTAAACAGGACTTAGATATGTTATGTTTTAAATCATCCATAAATGTGTTGCAGTTCTCCCCTAGGCAATTTTATGTGATAATTCCGAAACTATCGGGTATTGACACTTATCATCATTGAGTCATTTATCCTCATGTATGTCTCAGGAATACATCCCCAAATTATGAAACATATACCATCTGAAACACCCTGTATATATGTTCTACATAATATGCACAGCCTGATCATGCCCAAAAACAGCCTTGTTGATGCGAGAACCATACAAGTAAATTGCTCTTAAACACAAATTAAAGGCTTGGCAAGACTACATGACCAACACCAGGTAAACTTCTCCTACTTACACTGTCCTGAGCATGGATAACTGCCTCTTCCAATCCACACAGCTTGCTATTACTAACATGAACTCCTGGGGCCCAAAGTAAACAAGCTTCGTGCACCCAGCATTCCGTCCCTGGAGGTCTTGTCACGGCCGGAGTAGTAGAGGTGGTTGGAGTACTTTCACTTGTAATTTCTTTCACACTACTGTTACTAGAATTTGGATGATCAGGTGTTTGCTGGGGTCCACCCTCCTTAGCTGCAGGACGACCCTACAATAAACAAACACTAAATTATTAACATAGTTCCATGAATTAAATAGTAGACTTCTTTTTTCAGCTCTATATATTGTACAGTATGACCATTAAAATTAAGATTTTGAAAATAAATACTGTACAATTAAAAGGATTCAAATCAATGCTGTACAGTAATGTAATATAATTCATTCCCTGCAGCCCACCACAATGATTTTTTACATAGTAATTTATTTCTTGTGTGTTTCACCAATGACATTACAGTACATATGGGTGATACACACAGTACTGTAGTTTATAATTTACTAAAATTTCCAATATTCATTTGTTCCTAGAAAAATGGCATGCCTTTAAATACACAAGCTTATATAGTGTAGTGTAGTGTACGCTGTATTACCACACCATAAAACAGGAGTACGTATTCATTAGTATGGAAGGACAGTATAAAATAAATAATCTTGGATGCTCCTGCCCACCCACCATCATGAACACCACCAGGACTTCGTAGGTGCTTCCAAGTGATGTGGCGGACTCCCCACTCTCAAGTCGGGGAATGTTTATAAATTGGATTCCAAAATACAGTACAGAATATGGCATCTTGCTTTCTCGTTAGGAGCAACTTGCTTAAGCGGCAGTGACATTATGCTAGTACAATACAGTATAGCAAACAGGATGTCTAGTTAATGATGCAAATACTTTAAGTGGACTGACCATGCATCAACCATATGCATTGTGCTCCCTTAATTCTTGGTTTGGTGTGTTTTCAATTCTGTGCCAATTAAACCACAGATTTTGGCAATTCAATCCATGTAATTGTAACTCATCCTTGCAATTTGAGAGTTGACAAATAAAGCAATCACTCGTGAAATTGTTCCCAGAAGTTATCAGACCTTTCGGAAATTTCAAAGTGGAAGGTCTAACAGGGGAACAGGAGCAGCTGCTAGGTTCAGTCATCAACCTAGAGGAAACTTTAGAGGAGGAAACATTTTGAGACGTAGTAGGAGTGGCCGTTTGTTCAGAGGTGGAAGATCTTATTCCACCACATCAGCGACCACTCCCTCCCATTGAAGCCAGACAGTTGGGTGGATCTGGAGGATGCCTATTATCATGTGCCTATTGCTCCCAGATACAGAAAGTTTCTAGTGTTCAGTGGGGGATGTAAGTTATCAATTCACAGTAATGCCATTCGGTCTGTGACAATTGCGCCAAAAGCGTTTACAAAACTGGCAAACATCCCCAAGGAGATCCTTGCGACGGAGGGCATGAGAACTTTTGCTTGTCTAGACTATTGGCTGATTGTGGGAAACTCTTTAGAAGACTGTCAAAGGGCGACCCAATGCGAAATCGCGTTAAGTGAAACCGCATTAAGCGAAAAAATTTTTTTTTTTCTTCTAATTTCGTTGTAAGTACGAAGAAAATAATGGCGTAAATTGAATTGGGTCCTAAATTAACCAGGGTGTTAAATATGAATCATCGTTAGTAGAACCATCGTTATCGGAGGCTTTACTGTACTCCTATATAAGCATCTATGTGCCCATATTTTTTATTATACAATCTAAAGTAAATGAAATGTAGACAGTAAACCTTAATAAAGTCATTAGCCATTTAGGGGGCAGCGGTCTTCCTATGCTAGTAAAATCGTCTGGCACTAATCAGAATATAATCGTCTGGCACCAACCAGAATATAATCATCTGGCGTTAACCACAATAAAATTGTCTGGCATTTGCCAGAATTAACTAACAAAAGCCCGCAGGAAGGGTGGGGATATTTTACTAATTTCCTTCAGCACAACATCCACCACTTTGACCTCATTCTCCAGCTCCCACTGTACACACCTTCAGCATGAATCCTCAAGAGGAAAGGTTTTGAACAAAGGGAAGAATTGTTGGCAAAAGACAATACTGTACGGTCTTTCAATTGCTGGCATAGCTAGAGAACTTGGAGTTTCCAAGACCATGGTCAGACTTTGGTGATGGATGGGAAGAGTTGGGGAATTTTCGAGACCAACCAAGGTGTGACGGGAACTGGAAGAATACAGACGACTTTTGGAAGTAGACAGCAACCAATTATACATGCAAACTGCCTCGAGAGATTGATTGTAACTGGACATTTCACCTGGAACTATTTGAAACAAGCTTCAAGAGGTAGGGGTTCACCACAGGACTCCGGCAAAAACAGGAAAATGAGAAGATAATCATCGACGGGCAATTCTTGAATTTGTACAACATGAGAATGAGGGTCTTGATTACTGGGCCGGGTTAAAGGAGGAAAAAAAAAATATTTACGTCTACCACCCACGGTAGGTGATCAAATAACACACAATGTGCACGCCAAAACACCTAGGAGGTAACACACAATGAGCATGTCATGTATGGATGCAATTGTGCAGCATGGGTGAAGTGACTGGAATCACAGAGCAATTTACCATCGACCAGTACAGTCTCTGGAGATATTGGAAGAAGTGATGGTCCCCTTTGTACACATGTATGCTCTCCCATATCCTGAGTGGACAATAATCATCCAAGTATGAATAATTTACTGTATATTTTGGCAGATAAGACGAGACTCAAATCATAAAAAAACCCACCCCAAAATCAGGGGCCGTCTTATAGGCCAGATACAAAAATCAAAATACAAAAAGTGATCTCAAAATTCCATACAAATTACCTTAATGATGTGAGTCAGCGAAGGTAGCCGTGGTCGTCAATCTTGAAACAGCCGTTGTAGTGTTTACAATTTGTATTTCTCACTAAAATCCATATACCGATATGGTGTTAAACCAATGAAAGCATTGTAAAATATAAAAAAATCACATACATTAAAAATTCACCAGCTTCATCGTCTGAAGCACAGAGCTCATCAAACACATCCTGAGTCTCGTTGTCGTCGTAGGGTCCCAATGAGAATCCGGTTGACTGCATCACCACGACACGTAGGTATGTACATAGTCATACACATGGTATTTACCTTATTATATGCCTCTCTCATAACATAATTCAAATTATTTACTGGTAATACATTAAACATTCAGAGTATTTAATACATTAAATACATCACCATATTGGTGGTCATTGACATAACTTTACCACAGGTTGTTTGATAGCTTGAGGAGTTATCTTATACCACAGATATGAGCTAAAACCCTGAAATTTAGAATGAAATTTGGGCTTCGACTTATCCGAAGGTCGTCTAATCCGCCATATTATACAGTATTTATTTGTCTGTTACGTATTTCAGAAGTTTACCATACATTGTTCTCAAACAATGTCTTCCTGTTTTATCTACAGTATAATACTCTACTTAGTTTTGTATTAATTACAGTAGAATCCCAGTTAAATGGCACCTATGAGTATTGAGAGGTGCCGGATAAACAGTATTTCCAGTTAGTTGAATCTAACTCTTAGGATCTCCCAATAAATCCTACAACGCACAGTGCTACAGGCTGACCTCACAAATTTGTCTCAGAAAAACGTACATCTTTAACAAATATTCCACTCTATATAAACGATGTTTTACGGGGAATAGCCCACCCGGGCACAGGTCATCGACCCACAAAGGGGCCTAGGAGGCAAAAAATTGGAATAAGAAATTAAAAATTGAAAAGAAAAATATTATACAGTACTGTATTAATCTTCACCACGAAGATGCTAGAAAACCAGCTTTTTAAAGTGAGACAGATTGTATGAGTATTGAAATACAGAAGAAGGCAGAGCATTCCACAGTTTGGCTGTGTGAGGAAAGAAGGATGTACTATAATGGGTTATTATAGTGTGACCCACATCCACACAGAAACGGTGGGCACCGCGAGCAAGACGAGTGTTACAAGCCCAAGGCCTTGCCGGCAGTACACAGGAAGCCAAATCCACCGAACATTGCCCGTTTAAGTACCTGTAAAAGAGAGAGAGTGAAGCAACATTGTGGCAAAGAGAAAGGGAAGAGAGATTATCAACTAAAGGAGGAGAGTCAAAAAGACGAAATGCCCTGGACAGAAGAAGAGCCACCCCAGATATGAGAGCAGTACAGTACAGTACTCCAAGTTAGGACAAATGAATCCTTTATAAACTTGAACCAACTGCTCAGGAGTGAAGTAGCTACGGCATCTGTACAGCATTACCATCTTTCGGAAGGCAGCTTTGGCAATGGTGTGTATGTGTGGCTTCCATGACATATTAGAGGAAATGGTGAGGCGTAACATATCTATTATAGAATTTGTCAGAATGATTGCATCCTGAAATGTGATTGGTGGGAGATCGATTGGTGGGAGATCATCTAATTAGGAAAGTGTAATTGGCAAATACTGTTTTATTGCTATTGAATTTAACCAAGTTTCTACCCTCTCATTCGGAGATGCTGCACAGATCTATATTGATAGATGAAATGATATCAGCTCTAGAAACAGATCTAGTTTGAGAATTAGAGAGAAGGGAAACGTGTGAAGAAGAGTGAAGAGTAGAATCATCAGCATAAGAATGGATAGAATTAGTAGTAGTGTGAAGTAAGTCATTGATAAAAAGAAGGAAGAGAGTAGGTGAAAGAACAAAAGCCCTGTGGGACACCACTATTGGTAGAGAAAGAGCGAGAGATCGATCCCTCGACACCAACTGCCATGGATCGGTTCTCAAGGAAGATAGAGATTAGAAAACAAAGTGGGGGAGAGAAACCATAAGAGGGAAGTTTAGAAAGCAAAGATTTGTGCCATACACTATCAAATGCTTTGGAGATGTCGAGGGCCACGACGAAAGTTTCCCCATAATCCGTAAGAGAGGATGACCAAAGACGGGTGCAGTAGGACAGCAGATCACCAGTAGATCTCGTCTGGCAAAAGCCATACTGGTGATCCGACAAAAGAAAAAGGTGCTCTAGGTGACGGAGAAAATGAGAGTTTAAGATAGTTTAAAAAATCTTAGAGAGGGATGAAGTTAAGGCAATAGGGGATAGGTAGAGGGATGGGGATAGCACCCTTCTTTGGGATGGGCTGAACCGAGTCATGCTTCCAAGAAGAAGGAAAAGTTTGGGT